ATCTTTTAAGGAAAGAAGATTCCTACGGCACTTCGTAAATGGAATCTTCAACAACGGACTGAAAAAATATTTAACAGAAAATTCTAGCTTACCAGTGGATGAATTGTTGGCACAAACTATTACATTTGATAGAAGTCGTAGAATTATTTCTTATTTTAATAAAGCTCAAAGATTAATTAATATTTTCAAGTCAGAAACAGAAGATATATTTTATAAGTGGTTAAATAAATTCGAAGAAGTAGTCGATATAATCAAGGTACCAAATGATCGAATATTGGATTTTTACAACGCAATGATAGACAAAGAAACTCTTTCCAGAATCATGAGTATGTTTCCTACCATCAACTTCTCTGAACTTTCATACGAGAAGACTGTAAACACTTATCTATATTATTTTGATCCTTACGAATCTAATTTACACTTAAAACGTTTTAATGATCGAAAACAATTTCAAAATGAAAAAGTAGTGAATTATGCTAATCATTTAAAGCAAATAAATAATAAGTGTAATCCAAAGATTGTCGACAGTAAAACATTTAACCAACACTTTAGGAATGGATTACGCGATTCTCATTTGCAAAAACTATTACAAAATTCTCTTGAAAAGCCCACCGATGTCATTATAAAAGAAGCTATTCGTTTTGAAAAAAAATATGAAGTTAATATTTATAAACGTAAAGCTTCTAAGACGATTAATAGTTTCAATCAAAATATTAATGATAAATTTTATAATTGGTTAAATAGTTTTGAGTATGTAGCAGATAAAATAGGGGTACCAGATAATAATATGGCGAGATTCTTTCATTGCATGATTCATATTAGTGTCAAAGAAATTATCAATAAGACATATCCTGATATCGAATACATGGTATTACCATATGAACTAATAATAAACAAATATTTGGATTATTTTTATATTGTAGATAAAAATAATACACAAAGAAATCGTTTTATGAATAGAATGCAATATGATGAAGAAATCATAGAAAAATATGCCAATAGTTTACGAAAAATATATGATATGTGCAATTTTAGAAGTGGCCATGAAAGAAGATTAATCCAACAATTCTTACATGGAATACGCAACAATGAACTGAAAAATTATTTAAGAGATAATCAATTGAGAAAAATTCAATTGAATTTGAAACAAGAAATTATATAAAAAATTATAAAAATCAATCATTAATTCACATTTATAATACAGAAAATGAAGAGGAATTTTGCATTTGGTTAAATAAATTTGAGTATGTAGCAGATTTTCTCCAAGTACCAGATTTTTTCGTGCTTCAATTATTCAATGAAATGGTGGATAATAATGTCCATACGATGGTCAAGGATACTAGTTCATTTTTCAACTTGTCTGAACTTCCATACGATGAGATTGTAGACCATTACCTTCGTTATTTTTATCCAACTGAAGATGATTTACGTTTAAAATGTTTCATGTATCGAGATCAATATGAAAATGAAACGATTTAGCAATATTTTAAGAATTTACAGAGAATATTTAATAAGTGCTTATTTTCAAGTCGCCAAAATCAACATATTTCCATCAAATTCGTCAGTGGACTCCGTGATGAAAATTTGAAAACTTATTTACGTGAAATGTCTCACTTATCATTCGATCAAATAGTAGAAGAGGCTGTTGAGAGAGAATTCATTTTTTCGTTATAAATTTTGTATAAATTAGGCATACTATTCATTTATTTATGTAATATTATTCTCGATCTGGAAATATCGAAAGATCCAGTCTTCGTCTTACCTGTAATGGTCTGAAGATTTCGAGAAGAAACACAGGAAGTTGCGATTATTAATATTAAGTTATGATAAGTAAATTAGGACGATGAAGACAACCAGCGGATGCCTTTTTGATTCGGTGTAATTACGAGTGTGTTACGAGTGTGCAATGAGTGTGCAATGTTAAGTTTTAGATATTTACTCTTCATATTTTATCTCTTACTTATTATTATATCTTATCTAATATCTATAAATAAACAAATAAATACTTTTTATTATAATAAATCTTACAGACATGATACATATACTTTAACTTTGACAATTCACTTTAATAATTAATCCTTTGCAGTCTAAGCAAGCACTCTTCAATGTTTCGTTCTAGCAGGTCGCGCAAATTCCATCATAGAGGGCCTGTTCTGTTAGAAAAATTCAAACTGAATATTTGTATTCTTTCATATATCGATGTATTCGATATATGATTTTCCTTTTGAGTCAGACACTGCCAGCAAAATTGAGTAGCATCTGTTAATATTTTTGCAGTATTCGATTAATAAAGATATGAATATATATAACATAATGTCACTTTTTGTCCTTCTAACAATTTATTCACAGTATAATAATTTCATATTTATTCCATAATTAAATATCGCGTTAAGCCCAATAAAAAAGCTTGAATGATAACGCGCATTTTCAAACTGTCTGCCAAAGCTTTAGCCACCACTTTTTTGTTTGCCACTTGATACATTGTTTTCTTAATATTTAAATAATAAAATAAAATAGTTTTTGTTCATGTACCTCATAATTTTTTTTAAATTAACTTTTATACCCATTTGGCGCGCTCTGGCAGCACTTTAGCCCCTAGCAAACTGTCTGCCAATATTTTTCCGCGTTTCCTCAATATAAATACCAGCTTTTTCCATAATTAGAATCCGTGTACCTTATGATTTTTCTGACACTTAAATTTCATGTGTTCAATCGTACGCCCCCGCTTTAAGCCACCCTTTTGCGATGGCAGACAGGCAGATTTATGTTCAGCTATACCAAAGGTACCTTTTTCAATAGAAATGAATCGTGTACCAATAACAAGCCTTTTTATGTAGCCAGCTCCTAGACTAATAGTAATATCTATATTTTGAATTTAACTAATTAATTAATTTCAAAAAAGAAAGTGCTTGTTAAGATCTCGTATTCTTTGTAACTTCTCTTATTAAATATACATTTATGTATCTATCTGTTTTATTCCGTCCGTAAAGTATAGTAAATTATTATAATCGATTTTTGATAGTAAAATCCATATTGAATTTAATGAATTAATTTAAAAACGAAGTGTGTGTGTGTTTATTAAATYCACGAACCCTTTTTAAAGTTATATTATTAAATACCCATCAATCCATTTTTATCTGTCCGTAAAATATAATAAATAATAATAATCGATGTTTGATAATAAACTCCATTTTGAATTTAACTAATGAATTCATTTATAAAAAGAAGTGTTTATTAGGGCCTCGTATCTTTTATAAATTTTCTCATTGATTATTCATTTATCTATCTTTTTTTCATCGGTAAAATATAATAAATAATAATAATCGATTTTTAATGATAGAATCAATTTTGAATAACTCAAACTGATAATCGTGTTTTTTAATAAAATACTGTAGGTGTATGTATTTATTCATCGATCGTTTCAACCCGCATTTGTATTGTACTCTCTACGTTTAATGAACATTTCCCCCCACACCACTACTCTCACCCCTCCTCTCTCTTCCTTCTCTCTCTTTGTTTAGCACTTTTTGTGAATTTAATAGGAAGTATACATCCGTGGTAGCATCGAGAGATCGACAAATAACGCAACACGCTTTGATATACGTTACGAGATAAACAAGGTTGATGCTCTTCCATTGCAATTGTTCTACAGCATAATTAATTGCGAAAGAAAGAGTAGGTAGAGGAGGACGAGGAGAGGAAGAAGGGAAGAAAGAGATAGTAACGATGAAAGGACAATTTACTACGAAAAACTTCAGGTCATTGATTACGTTTTTATTTTCTATCGGAGTCGTATATACTTTTAATGTCATTTTAAATCCATGAAAATATTTAACACCATATACGATATGTGAATTTATGGTACAAACAGTATTCTTATAAGTTAATATTTTCAATTAACATAGTTTTTAAATATTTAATTACCTGTATTTACAATTAATCGTATTGATCATTTTCCATACTCGGAATTAATTACAACAACAAAAAAACGAAACAAACTGTTCAATATTGTCGCAATAATTCTGCATTACTTAAATATATCTTGCAATTGATATATCCAAAAATATCGGGCGTTATTGTTTCTATTAATGTTGTATAATAATTCTTGTTATAATATTTTTGTTTACTTTAAAGAAGACTTTCTTTGATAATCAATCACGTTTGTGTAATTTAATTTTAATCACAGCTAAAATTGAACTATCAGTTTATCTTACAGTCGGTTAGTTTGTTTGTTTGCATAGTATAGAAAAATTATTGTTCGGTAAAATAGATACTTCGAAAAAGATTGGTGTTTGATAAAACTTACGATAAATTTTAGTCAAAAGGAATGTAGACCAAAGAATCATCTATCGTTTACGTTTAAACTTAGATATTATTATTATTATTATTATTATTATTATTATTATTATTATTATTACTATTATTATTATAAGAAATAGAAAATAATATTCTATGTTTTTATCAGTTTAATATAAATGCTTTTTTGTAAGAGGACAGATATGGATGGAAATATTGTTTTTAACGAACAATAGTAAAACTTACAGACTTATGATCAAAGTTAAGTAAAATAGTTGTACTCAAAATTCGTTTAACACGTTGATCGTACAACGCGTAGATCAAAAAGTTTCCTTTCAAGGCTAAAATTTACCCTGTATACATTTTGAAGACATGTATTGAGAATTATCCATAGGACAACTCACTATTTTTTTTCTTTTTCATTTAGGAACCTACGCTTTTTAAAATTTCAACAAACATCCGACATTCGTCGTTTGTTCTATTCAATTCGATTCATTTCGAAGCTTTCATATTTTGTTGAAATAATATTATTTTACTAACAAATTTACTTATATTTGTTAAACAGTAGTAAATATTTATCTTATTGTCTTATAAATAAAATTATGCACAATAATTATTTGAGAAAATCTATGTCGACTGAATGAGAAAAGAATAACGTTAGCTGATGTTTAGGTTACGTAACCTTGAACGGAAATATGATTGTCGCCCAAATTTGGACTACGCGACGATCAACGTGCTATTATTGATATTAATCATAAAAAACAAGAGAGAAATAAGATAAAAAGAAGATCATTTGCAATCTTCTTTCGAAAATATAATCAAATATTTATCTATACATGTAAATACATCGAATCTAAGTACGAATACTCAAAAAATTCGCAATTCTTTTTCGACAAATATTCATTGCACTTATTTACAAGAGAATTAGAAACGCTTTATTTTATTTCTTTGTACTAAACCGGCTCGTACGAGGCAGCAAAATTCGTCTAATAACAAAGTTTAGTTTAATTGATTGAAACAGGTACATTAAACGTACGATGCATCCAAATTTAGTATCAGGCGTTTCCTTTTCTTTTCTTTTGTTTTTTCTTTTTTTTTAGATTTATCTATTAATTTCAATTCCTTATTCGCAATAATAAGCTCTAAGATTTGTGTTTCTAGTTTCAAGGATGGATAGAACAGGACTTTCTCGAAATCCCTCAACACATTCGATTATCGGTAAAGAATTTGTACAATAAATTAAACCCAAATTTTAAGTTGTTCCTTCAACGATCGAGCTTGGAATATAAAAACAAGTTTTAAGATTATTTCAATCATCGAATTCGTGTATTTGATAGGACTCCCATTTGAGATTACGAAGACATCTATAAAATCAAGGATATCACAATCATTAATATATACATTATAAAATAAATTAATATATAACTCACTTTTTTGCGGAATCTAGGAATCCTTTAGGACCACAAAGAAACACACAGCTGTCAGGTGAATAATTGCCCATTAATTCTTTCAAAAGTTCATCAGATATCGAACCACGCCTACCATTCCATAATTCTCCCGCTTGCGACAGAATATGTGTAACTTTCAATCTAAAAAAAATAATCAAACAAAATAATATGCAAATATCAAATAAATAAACATAAGCTAAAGAAGTATTTTAATCAACAGGGACAAAAAAAAGAAATAAAAAGGTAAGAAAAGAAAAAAAACTTGTTTGATTATCTAACAGTAATACTAACTTATTTGTATTGCAAGCTCTCTCCAACTGTTCTGCATAGAACATGTTATCTTCATCCTTGTTGAAGTTTAAAAGATTGATACTTTTCCTATAAAATATTGTTTTTAAATAAAATCTTAATTATATTCATGAAGATAGGATCAAACATTTGAAAGAAATAGAATGGAATCCTTACACATGACGCCTGGCAAGGGATCGTTGAATTATTCCTAGCATCACTGTTAGTCCTGTTCCAGCGGCCAACATATGAATGTCGGTAAAACGATCAAAGGTTTCAACGATAAAGTTACCAAGTCCGTTACTCAACATAACACTTTCTGAAGATTTCAAAGCTGTTATAGATGGACTAAGAGCACCATCTTCGTACCTTTTGATCATCAGGCATATACAATCTGACGTATAATTCGGTGCCGTGTCTTCCGGGTGAAGATATGGTGGGACAGGTGTATAATATCTAGAAACCTCAACACCTGTATATCATAAGTTAAAAGAAAATCAAATGATTATTTAAATTTTGTTATGTAAGGAAACAACTTTTTGCTCACCTGCAATGTTTATTTTTGCTTCCAAGTGTCTACCGATTGGTATTAATTCTAACGAATCCTTAGCTCGTAGGACTAACAAGTGAACTAATTTACAAAGTGGTGTGTTCGTTAGAACTTTGTATCCTTTATAAGTTCTCTTATTGGTTATTGGTTCTCGTGACATGGTATAATTACCTTGAGTTTTCCAAACAATTTTATCTTTTTTTCTGAACGTAAAATCTATCTAAAGTTTGACGAAGAAAATAATCAAGTTTTCTAAGTAATCATTATTATTATTATAACAAAGTGAAAGCTGTTCAGAATGATAGATAACAACTTACTTCCATGTTTTCATAATTTCTACTCCAAGTAGGAGGCCATTCGATTTCACCAGCTAATTCAAGCTCGTGCGTTACTATATTCTTTTCAAAGGATAAATTAAAAACGAGTTTGGTATCATTTATCCTTGATAAACGATAATAGATACCCTGATAATCATTTATACTTTGATAAAACAAAGTTATGGTGTTAGTCGTTTGACGCCAATCCATTTTAATTTTCGAAACACCATCATTGGTTTCTTTTTCTTTTTCTTCCTCGCTTGTACTTTGAGCTAAAAAATAAAACAAACGTTTGACATTTAAAATAACAGAGAACAAAATGAAAAAATCAGCATAAATACACATAAATTGCGTTATTACTTGTGCAACTTTTCAAGAGATCATTTGCAATGGATGATTTTCCATTGGTCTTTGATGTATTTGAAATCGAAGAACGACATAATCTACCAACGACACATTTTTGAAGAAGACTTTGATAATTTACCCAAGCGTGAACCTGTAACGAAGGATCTATGGGTGCCTCGGGAATAATAATCGTTCAATAAAAAAAATACGCGTATTAATTGACGTTAACTTCGTTAAGATGGCTTTACCTTGTCGAACAATTTCGTGGCATCTTTTCCAACTCCTTTCATTAATTCGTCAATTCCTCCTGGATGAAAATCCATGTAATGTGACACGTTGAAAACTATTCCTAAATTGAAAAGAAAAATAAAAAAAGAAGAAGAAGAAAATTAGCAAACGAGTACAAATATTTGCATATGTAAATTGTAAAGATGAATACACTTCAAACCTCTTATTGCAATCCACGCGTCGTTTTTCTTATTATGATTAGCTAACTCAGTTAATGTAACAGTGCGTGGAATACCACCAACTCCAGTTAAGTCTACTCCTGAATTACCTAATCGTATCCAATCCATGACACTGTGACCTGGTGCTAATGATGTCTTATTTCTTGGATTTCCTAGCAAAAAAAATAAACGATTAAAATACCTGCAGATGAATAAATATGAATACATATTTATAAATTTTACAATAATTTTAACAATTAAATTTTAACAATTACGAACGATATATGTCAATGATTAGGTAATAATAGCCAACATCTTGTTTAAATATATAAATTAAAACTAGTTCATTAAAAGAATGGAATCATTTTAGCAGAACGTTATATTTAATGTAAAATGAGTTTATTGCATAAGAGCAAAAAATTAGAGCTTAACATAGAACTAATTGGCAATTGGACTAATTACTAACCATCTTGAATATGCAATTCAAAACTCGAGGTAGATACGTTGGAAAGTAAAGATAAGCAATAGCATCGTGACATGTTTTTTATTTTTGTTTTTTTAATTGTTTGCTTTAATGATCATCCAATACGATCGATCGATCCTTTCCTTCTGCGAAACTTAATCGAAGTTCCATCGAAAAGTAGATCGAATTTGTAATTTCCTTTTTTAATTTTTAAATATTTGCTTCTTATGTACAAACACGATGGACAACATGCAAACTTGTATATGTATGTGTATGTGTGTGTGTTGTGTGTATAAATTCGCTATATAAACTGTAATTTTCTAAACAATTTAAGTGTGTTAATTAGTATAGAAACGTAGCTCATTTGCAAAAAAAGTAATTTTACATGTAATTATTTTAATAATATCATATGAAGAATTTATTTTTTATTCATATCACCGTTTTACCTTTAAAATGATGCATGCAAGTGTTTGTTTAATTTAGAACAAAGGTAGATCTGATCAAACATAATACTGTTGAGAACTATCGAGTTCGAAATATCGATTTATTCCTTTCCAAGTATCGAAAGCGTCAATTTACTGTATAGCAAGCATTATTAAATCATAGTTTTCCCATAAATACTAGCTCATGATAAACAAGTTTAAAAAGTGAATTAATATAAATCGATTGACATAAATAGTTTCCTTTAAAAAGAGTAAGCATAGAAAAAGTAAACCTTATAGAAAACTGAATGTATATGATAACTTCGTATGTTTATTGTTATATAGTTTTGTATGTTTGTATGTTTTTTAATTGTTTGTTGATATTAACTTACATATCTTACATTCGTAATTATCGACTTAATAATAGTAAATAATTGTTACATGGAATATTTCTTATTAATGATAAAATATTCATATGTTTAATTCATTATATGATTTATATCTCGTTAGAAAACAAGGAGAAAAAAAGACTGAAATAATAATCGATGTAGGATAATATATACGATCGATTATCAATAAAAATATTTGTTCGAAGATATCTGGTAAATCGTTAAAATGAAAATCATTCTCAAAATGTATTCATCAATAATAACATGTTATCGTAAGGACCAAATGTAAACAAAGATGTGTGATTAACAAAAAAGTAACATTGACTATAAATATAACAAATACTATTAATCGATATACACATTGGAACGAGTTGGCACGAAAAGAACAAAGATTAGATGATCGTTTCACCATGGAAGATTCTTCAATACTGTGGAGGAAACTGTAGACTATATGAATATATATAACGTTTCAAACAGATAGATCAATATAATACACACAGTTAGAGAGAAAGAGAGAGAAAGAAAGAGAGTGAACCTGGTGTTCTGGTCTTATGACCAGATATATATGGGATTATAAAATCGTCTTATGATTTTATCGTATTTTTAACACTTGTTTCACGCTTTTGTTTCTTTTTCATTTTTGTCTCATTTAATTTTCAACGATAAGTATACAAGAAAAAGTCAATTTATATAACAGAGACAAATATTTGATAATAAATCGGCAAATAAAAAAAGTCATAGACTTTGAAAAATATATACATATATAGCAAAGAAACAGTTATTTTAAGTTATTTCGAAGGTTATGTCTTTAAGCCATTTTAAAATTGAGGTTAAATAAAATAGTATATATATACTAGCTGACCCGGCAAACGTTATTTTGCCATATAAATTATTTCTAGTGAATATTTTGGTAGTCAAATAAAAAATAAGTAACTTATTGTAAGTGTGTGGGGATGTGGTCTATGACTAAAAGAGGAAGGAAGCGCTGTGAACAATGACGGCCTATAAAAATAACAAAACACCAAACACTTTTTTTTCTTTTTTTATTTTATTTGTGCGTCCGCCTGGCGGGGATAGCTGATCGAGTGATAATTGATCAGTTATCGACCAACAAGGATTGAAAATTATTAAAGTACTAATATCGCTATTAAAAAATGGGGGTTAGTTGTAGAAGGGTGAAAATTTAGGATTGTATGTATTTTTTAATGCGAAATCATAAAAAAATAAAAAATTTTATCAAAGAAATAAAAAAAAAATTTTTGGGGTGGACTACTTTGGGGTATGAAAAATAGTTTACGTCCTATTCTCAGACCTACCGAATATACACACAAAATTTTATAAAAATCGGTCAAGTCGTTTTGGAGGAGTTTAGCTACTAACACTGTGACACGAGAATTTTATATATTAGAAAGGTATATTTCGATATAAGTAAATCGGTGATTAAATAAACTGAATCTTGTATTTAATTATAATAAATACGAATTAGAATAATTTGTGTGAATAAATTTTGAAAATGAACATTTAAAAATAATAAAATTAATAATTTATTAAGAATTATTTTTTGGAAAAATGACTATGATTGCCTCATCTTGTATATAATTTAAATTTAATTTAACGAGGTTGTCCGCCATTAAATATTTGCATACGTATATTGCGCACATTCGTGTCTAGTCTGAATAATTATGCTTACGAGTTGGATTATTGAAAAAAATAAAGCCGGAACATTTTTAAAAATAATACTTATTAATATATTAGGTAGACTGGAAAGTAATGTCGTTTCTACAAATGTCAAATTTTGTATATTTTTATCAAAAACCGATTGATTTTTATCAATTCGATATTAAAAATTTGCATACTAGATGAAGAAAAGTTGTTGATGACAAAGTTGATTATGTTATTGATTAAAAATATAAATTTGTTAGAAATTTATTCGTGTGAATTTAAGATTAGAAAGCGACAATACTTTCCGGTCCACCTAATATATTCTAAATACAAGTAAAAATTATTCTAATAATTTTTGAATAGAAATTAAAACTTTGATAGCACAGAAATGATCATGAATATTATTAATAATAGTCATATAATTAAAAAGATCGTTAATTGATTTTTTTTCAATTTTCAATCAATGATTTCAATTTTCTTTCAATGATTATTAATTCTTCACGTGGATAATTACTTATAATAGCTAAAGGAAAAGTAACGAGGTTTGGGAGGGGGGTATTGTGAAGGTAGTGGAATAAAAAGAGAAACATAAAGTAGAGAAAAAGGAAGAGGCAGATGAAGAGAAAGACGAGGAGGAGGAGGAGGAGAAGGAGGAAGAGAAGGTGAGTCAAGAAGAAGACCATAACTTACCAGTCGCCGAGCTAGAAGACTTCGTGGACGATCCAGTGTCATTCGTTGAACTTACATTGGATAATTGTTTGACATTAACCACTCCACTCGGTAGCAACAGAGTGTTTCTTGCTAAGAGACTAGTAGGTGAGGAAGATTTTACACCGATCATCTTCATTTTATCTTGCAAATCTATTTCATCCATACCCGATTCCTCCTTATATTCCTCAGGTGAACTTATTTTTTTCATATTTTAATTTTGGTTTATTAATTATTATTTTGCTTCTTTTGCTATTCCCTCTTCTTCTACTTTGTTTTCTTCTTTTTTATTTTTATTTTTTGTTATTTTTATGAGTTGTTCAACATGAACATCGACATTAACGTTAATTTTCGATCGTTGTTTTTCAATCGCACAATTATCTGGTCACGTTTTATCTTCATCGGATCCTCAATTATTTTTAATAATTTTCCTCTCAGACGAATCGTTAGTTAATATTTTTCTTCACTGGAAAAAGAAACAAATGTTTTGTTCAATTTTAAATTGCGTATTATTACAGTTGACTAATTTGAATAATTTTATTTAATCACACCAATAAATTTGAAAAAGTTTGAATGATTTATCTACTATACTTTATAGTTTAGTATTCGAAGTATACTTTGTCATATATTTATGAGTATAAACGCCATGTAAAAGAGGACTTTGTCTCTAATAAATGTCTCCTATTTCGAGGAAAAAAATTAAAAACGTACATAAAACAATTCTTATATGTCAACTATTGCATCATTTTAGTATTTTAAATTTAAGTGCATATATTTAACTGGTTTGTTCACTCATAATATAATATGTGAAATCATCATCGAAATTACTAATGATTGATTTATGATATAATATTCGCGTGAAAAATATAATGTTTACAAAAGAAAATATTTCATTTTAAGTCTAAATCAAAAACATTCCATTGAAAAAAGTGAAAGTATTCCATCATGGTATGTTTGATTTACTTTCACCGATGGAAAATACAATGATAAATAACTTTCGAAAGTGACGACGGAATTCAACGATAGCCTTGACACTCGAGAAAATTACCTTTGACTTAAATGAATCTAATTGAATAAAGAAAATTGAGCTAAGCTTTTGATTGAAAGATCAGAAGGCATTCACCTTTTGCGGGCGCGCATATTTTAAATGTATTTGCTATCTCTCTCCCCCTCTCTCTCTTTTTCTCACTCTACCACTCTATCTTTCTCTTTTTCTATAGAATTAAATCTACGCTATTTCTTTTATCAAGGTCACGAATATGGGACGAAAGCAAGGAAGCTGTTCACATTGAGCAAAGTTAACTTTTCAAAGCCTAACTCATTAATTATGAATTATAATAATAATAATACAAGTTTATTCGAACTCTACTACTACTATATAAGCAAACAATCGATAGACAAGAAAAAGAAAAAAAAAGAAAGAAATATACATGCCGAAGAGAAACTTGCCTAATCGGGTAAACCATTTGTGTACGCGAACAAGCGAAAACGAAAAAAATTAAAAGACAAAAGTCAGTTTTCATTAGAATGCACGTGGAAATGTTAACGTTTTCTTTTTTTATCAAATTATTGTTGATAGAAGAACCTTGCCGTTAACTGTTCACGAGCCACTGCGATTGTGAGGTTAGATTCTGCCATTACTTTCGAGATATCGAACGAGAAGTCAGTCTATCGAATCTAACTTCGAGTTTTTCGAGAGAGATTCTACCTATACGCTTGCGTGAGAACAAAATGATGGAAACAGGGAGAGAGAGGTGCGGTCTTTTCTCTCTCTATCTCTCTCTGTCTTTTCTCTCAGGTTTCTCTCTCTTTTAGACGACAATGTTCATCACTTGTCGGATAAAAGTAAAGGAAATAGTAGTAGAAAGTTGCGAATTTAGTTACGATAACACAGTCATTGATAACCAGCTGGCTGTATCAACTGTATGAACATTTTGTACTATTTTTAAACCACCAAAGCATCGCGTGCACATTTTCAAATGGCTTAGAATGGAAACAAAAGAGACAGGATGTTCGTGTGAAATGGATGAAAATTAGAAAGAGAGGGAGGGCAGAGAGAGAGAGAAAGAGTGAGAGCGAATAGATGAGTAAGTGAGTGGGTGAGTGTGAGAGAGATAAGCAAAAGAAGTATTGAAAAGAGAAAGATAATACGTGAACTGCAGGTTCCGTTGATCACTCGTGACCACTTTTAAATCTTTCATCAGTTCCTGATTGTGTTTCTCTGTTTTACCACACATAGAAACGAAGATACATAAAGGGAGGATCATCCATCCTCTTGACCAGTGTGTGTACTTTCTGTCAAATTTTCTTTTTACCGGTTTATTTTCAAGTCACCGAACGGAGGTTTCAATTAACTACAACGTGTTTATTTCCTGTCTTCCGATCGTTCTCGAATTTTTCTCGTATATTTAACGAAGACAAAAACTAAGTGAAGTTTTTAGAAACGTTCAAGTTTTTTCAATACTTTGTAAGTATCACATTTCTATTTCGTTACTGCTTGCACCTCTCTCTACTTATTTTTTTTCGTTCATCCTTATTTCCACTTCTATTTAATTCAATTTCATTTTCTTTACTATTTTCTTTTTTAAGTGAATTTGTTACATAAAAAATGATAAGATAATATTACCGTGTATATATTGAATGGCATTAATCAAATTGTTGATAAGCCTATCACATAAATGGCGTTTTCATAATATTCGATAATATTATCGACGTTACCTTAACGGTGAAGTTATTCTTTTTTAGTTGACTCACGCAATGCTCTTATCTTCCATCATAAAAATATTGGAGCATGGTAAAATGTTTTATGCCAATCTGTCAAACTCACATAGCATCATCGACCTTGCAATTACAAATTCTTTTTTTTAGATGTTAACACTCGTTGCCGGTTTCCCCTCTTCATGATGACGATGATGATCATCTCTTCCTCTATTTCTATTTTTACTATAATATAAGTGGAATTGTATTTTTTATTCATGCTAATAGATAGTACACATTTCACTGTTTAAACTACTGGAAAGATAAATTGAGAAAGAACATACTCATTTTAATAATCTTCTTTATCATCTAAAACGTTCGATATTCTTTATCTGTTTTATTTCTCGGTTATTTTTTTTTTTTCTTTCATTATCTATTAATTTTTCTTTTTATGTCTGTTTAATGATGATTAAAAACCAGCGAGAGTGTTGCAACAATTTTTTACCATTGACGGATCAAAAGTTAACGAAAATAATGAATTATTAATAAATCTAATCATCAAAATTTATTTCTAATATTGACTATCAAACTTCCATATTATTTATGATCAAAATTTTATCTCGTTTGGAAAAATATTTCCGTCAATTTTGTTATTAAACTAAACTCAACTAACGATTACGACGAACCTTGGGTTACGTTTCATTTGGTCGATTAACTCGGCAAGGATCCTTACAGACGATAATTTTCTTTTCAATCAAACTCATGAGGGAAAAAAAATAAAACCAGCTGTAACATTTCAATAGCATCCTACCTCGATTAAAAAATATTTATTATAAAAATACCGTCTCGTTTGTTAGACTTGTTTTTCTCTTTCTTTTTTTCAACAATTGTTGTTTCGAACGGAAATTCGATTGCATAATTAATTTGTTGCATTTCCTTTTCAACGCACTAATGATCGAAATAAAATAAAGGTGAACCCCATTCAGATATATTAAAAAAAGTTAAACAAATAAAATTATATATTTATTAATACTGTTATTTATTTTTTTTCTTTTTTTCTTGCAGAATAATGGCGAGCAAAAATAAAAACCAAAAGAAAATTAGTCCACAAGGACAAATATTATATGTAATTCATCGTTTAATCGAATTCATTGCCAGATGTATATTTTCATTATCAGCCTATATTCGTGGGCCGAAAGAAGGTCAACCACCTATAAACGATTTAACACTTTTACACAGTGCAACTACGTTAGCTTTTAAAATTAGGAATAAACAAGTATGATCACGTATATCTTAATTTAATCATTGATTTATCAATTCTATGGGTCACTGATTGATTTTATTTTATTTTTAGTTAACTTCCGAGCAAGTAGTAAAGTCGTACATTGAAAGAATAAAAGAGATTCAATCAATATTAAATTGTGTAGTTGAAGATCGTTTTGAGGAAGCTCTATTAGAGGCTAAAAAATGCGACGAGATGTTGGAATCTCCTAATGCACCATCTGCGAAAGTTCTTGCCAAAGAAAAACCTTTTCTAGGTGTTCCATTTACAACCAAGGTAAATTTTCTCTCTTATCAATTAAATAATTATTTTCTAACAATATATATTAATCATCGTTTTATACATAGGACTGTATTGCTATAAAAAATATGAAACAAACGGCTGGTCTGGTTTTACGGAAAAATTATGTATCCAAGGAAGATGCAGAAGTAATAAGATTGATGAGAGAAGCTGGAGCTATTCCATTAGCAACAACGAATGTTTCAGAAATTGCTATGTGGTGGGAAACCCATAATCGTTTATACGGTACCACGAAGAATCCGTACAACACTAGGTAATTTGTTTGATCTAGAACAAACCCTATTGATTTAAAGTTAGAATGTTAATTACCATACTTTACTTCTTGCACAGCGCATATTTAGTTATCACATTTGCTATTTGAATTTCATTTGAATTTGTTATGTTATTATTTTTAGACATATAGTAGGTGGTTCTTCCGGGGGTGAGGGCTGCATACAAGCAGCTGCCGGTTCACCATTAGGAATAGGATCTGATATTGGCGGCTCTATTCGCATGCCATGCTTTTTCAATGGAATTTTTGGTCATAAACCTTCTAAAGGTTTATATTAATAACAAAAAATCATTGATGCCTATTATTAAATGCTTTTTATTTTTCAATTTAACTAATCATTCAATCCAAATTTAGGTATCGTTTCTAATGATGGTCAATATCCAAGTGCCCACAGCGAGGATCAAAACCAATTACTTGGGATAGGCCCAATGTGTAGATTTGCACAGGATATGAAACCTATTCTTAAAATATTAGCTGACAAAAATGCAGATAAATTGAATTTAGACGATAAAGTTGATATTTCGAAACTTAAAGTAAATTGAAATATTTTCTACGATCATTTTCAATTAATTCTTTTATAATTGATTAATAACATCGTATTTTTTTTTGCTCAGTTTTATTACATGGAGGATGACGGAGGACAATATCTTGTATCGCCTGTAAGCGAGGAAATAAAATGTGCTATGAGAAAAGTACTTCTTCATTTTGAGAAAGTGTATAAAATAAAACCTACGAAGATACAAGTACGAAAATTTAAAAAAAGTGCTAGTCTATGGTTAGCAAACATGACATCAAAAGGCGAACAAGATTTTTCCTACGAATTGGCTAATAGGAAAGGACGTATTAATATTTGGTGGGAATTTATAAAGTGGTTAATGTTCCTAAGCAATCATACGCTAATTGCTCTAATAACAGCAGCATTTGAGAGGTTAGGTATAAAACATGGGAGTGAGCAATACACAAAACTCATACAAGAAAGTAGAGACCTTAACCAAGAATTTCAGGTAGGGTATATATAAATTTGTTAATGGTGTCTTTAAAAATCACATAGGGATCGAGACTATAATATTCTGCGTCTCTACGTGTTTACTACGTGTAACGAATCTCCATGCCTGTAACTTGTTAGGATCGGACTTCTTCTCTTGACTGTTTTGCAATGTATTTGCAATGAAAATAGCCAGATATGATTTGTTCTTGCCATAGAATCATGGATCGTATGTGATCGTTTCTTAATGGACATGATTTTTATTTCCTCTCAAGTCCAACGTAAATCCAACGTAAATCTGACGTGGATAAAGCAATATTTCTATGGGGTATTGCGTGCTTCTTTTATAAGTAGTCTCTACAATATCATTTTACACATATCTGCATGCAAATAGATAATGTACAATGGGTAAACAAAGTATTGGAACACCTCACTTTACCGAATCTTTTTTCATATCAAAATTCCGCTTCTTTCTCTAAGGACTTTTCGTCTTTCATTTTTTTTATTCGTTTCACCTACGAGTTATTTGTTCCTCGCAGTTCTATCATATAAGCCAGAATAATGGAAAACATTTCTCACAGATCAGGTACAAACGACCTTACCTGAGATTGTAAACATCATTGCAAAAGGTTTATTGGACGTCTTCTTTTATAAATTGTCGTTGATCTCTTTAAGAATATATTTTCAAGCATCCCGATCTTCGTTTATTTTTTTTTAACACCAGTTTCTTCTTTTCTTATGGTCACATATCATAAACTTGAAAAGTTTAGATTTTCTTTGTCACCAATTTTACAATAACTTATTGTTAGACCTTCGTCACGCAAAAAGAAATAATTTTATCTGATACAATGATCGATATTTCGGATATTTGTTGGTAGAAACGATTACTTTCCGAACTATAATTCTACACTAACAATGAACTAAGATTTGTATGGATTTTGGTTACATTTGCATCATTTGCATTCATGTCAGCAAAAGTAATATGCAAGCATTGATCACAGAAATGTTGACGTGCAAATATTTATTCAGTTATAGAAATTATCATTTTATTCGCATTTATTCTTTTGTTTATAATTTTATGAGAATTTTTATAGAATTATATTATTATTATTTGCCAAAGTTACCGAAAAATATCAAATAATATTTTTCTCCAATTCGAGTAGAATTACTTGAAGAGAATTATATAAATACTTTTTTTACCCACTGTATATATTAAAAATCGTATTACAAACAATTATTCGAAATTATCTTTCAAATTATCTTTGATCGTGTGAGAGAAAAAAAAAAGAAAAAGAGAGAAAGAAAGAGAGAGTGAAGTTTCAATTTAGAACCGACGCATGCACCTTAAAATATATTCTAGATTTTTAATTAACATATTACAACAAATCTATCGATTATAATATGAATTATTACAATTTCATTTAATTTGATATTATTTGTAGGATATTTTGGGAAAAGACGGTATTTTCTTGTATCCAACTCATCCAACAGCAGCGCCGTTCCATCATGAACCACTTGTAAAACCATTTAATTTTTCATACACCGCAATTATTAATGTCTTGGGTTTACCAGCCACCGCTTGTCCATTAGGTTTAAATAAAGAAGGACTTCCAATTGGCATACAGGCACTGCATTATATTTTATTTATACTTTATTTGAACTTTTCAAACGCAATTAATGAAAGTTAATTGATTAATAAATTATTTTTAGGTCATTGGTGGTTTATATCAAGATAATTTGACGTTAACTGTTGCCGAAGAAATAGAAAAAGCATTTGGAGGATGGGTTCCTATCAGTATCATAGCTTAAATTATTGGGCATGTTAGACAATAATAATTTTAAATGCATTATAATGCACTGACATACCAAATCCTGCCTTTCTTGACTCTTGAGTAATTCGAATTTTATAGAAGGGAAGATATCTGTGTGTATTTAAGTTAATAAACGAAAGGTATAAATTACTTTTATACATGTGAGACATGTAAGACGTGACGGACATGATTGACTCGATGTAATTTTTATTTGATTTTATTTTTCTGATAATAATATCTTCTATAAGCATATATTATCATTATTATTATTATTGTTATTATTATTATAAATTCGAATGACAAACTATTAACAAATTCATTAATAATCCATTTAACATAATTTTTCGTATTATTGAAATAATCCATTCGAATAAATCATTTCTACACAAAATATGGATTATAGTAAACACAGATATGAAAACTACCTTTCATCGTGAAACTAAATTTCTACTACTATATGAGTATTTATAAATTTATACTTTCCAAAAACAAATGTCTTTCTATATGATAACGCATTCGTTTATAAAAAAAAAAGAAGAAAAATTAAAAAACTATGTCTAACATACGAGAGATATATTTGTATATAAATAAAATATCATGTATCATGTGTTGAACTGCAGATGTATTTTTTTTTATTTCGTTTTTCTTAGGAATTTTTTTCTTTTATATCTATAAATATAAAAATATATTCATCATAAGTTTCTGTGTAGACTTTTCTATTTTCATACACAAAAAGATTATACGTAGATATTGTTTAATAGAAGAAGGAAGAGAGATACTTTTTGGTAATGCGATCAAATTATAAGCCCAATGTTATTTAAAATCATCTATTGATGTTAATACGTCGTAATATATATATATATATATAAATATATTTTATTGTACTGTAAAATAATAAATTTTTACTCTATTATTCCATCAACAAGTTAGATTCTCATTTATTATAATACTTAGATCATTTCCATAGGAAATTTTATCATTTAAATTAAAAGAAGAAACCTACATGTTTGATTTTGTTCGAACATATATTGTTCTTTCAATTTTATCATAATCATCATTACCATCGCTATAATCGTCACAAATATATTCTAAAAATCGTATAATTCGTAAATAAATACTCGAAGTATTTGAAATTCTGCGATCAATATTTCAGTAGAATAAATAATTTATTACATATTTACAAGTACAACGAATACAATTTCTGAATTTAATGGACGTATTTTGCACATGATTTTTAATTAATGTGTTTTTAAAAATATTTCATCGATGTATGAGTTTATGCATTTGAACCTATATTTAAAGCAATTTAAATAAGCGTCAAAAACAAAACAAAATTATTATTAATAAGATATACAGGAACTTCATTTGAGAAAAAAAACAAACAACTATATCAGCTTCAGCTTCGATTTGGCTATAAATTTTTAAAGAAAAAATGTAGCCTCGTTACAAGCATACATAAAAGAAGCATTATATATGTAATATATGTATATATATATCAGTTCTTGTCGTACGAGTAAATATTTGCTCTATTAGTATGATAAATATTTAAAAAAAAAAAAAAAACATGAGAAGAAATGTCCAATACTTTGTCTAACATAAAAATAATATTTTTAAAACCTACGATATACTAGTCCACGTAAAAACAAGGATAATAAGTACATTTAATACGATTTATAAATATAAAAAAAAAGAAAAAAATACTTTTACTTTCATCACAGTAGTTCATCGACAACTGCATCATCAAAGTATCAGCGAATATACTTAAAGTAATATCTTTTTTATTTCTCCAACCATATTCTGTATATATCACTTAAAAATGTTGACGCGTAAAAAAACTACATTGTATATAATATTTAACCCTTTAGTTCCTAGCGACTCATATACGAGTCATCAGTCCCCGACCCATATAGGGGTCTTAAAATGTAACGATAGAAAATTTATATGGAACGATACTCGTGTCGATACATGTCGTAACAAAAGGGCTAACATTTAGAGAATATTTATCGATTACTTTGAAAAAATATCTAATATCGACATAGAGAGAATGAGAGAGAAAGAGAGAGAGAAGAGAGTAATAAAAAGATCAATTTTACGTAATAAGATTCATTTCCTCTGTCGGTGTATGACTTTTTCCAGTTCTCATGAGAATCTTTTCCGATCTATTGTCCAACGAATTGTCCTTGCTATCTTCGCTGCCAGGCCTACTTGGTATCATCTCGAATTCGTTCGAATTCGTTTCAGATTGTAGCTCGAGTAACGCTAAATCATCGACCTCTCTCAAATGATCCATTCTGTTATCCAAACCATTGATTTTTTTAGCTTCGTTACCATTTTTACTTTCCGAAATTTCAATTAGACGTGTTCTATCCTTTTGTTCTTCTATTTTGTTTACATTTTTAGAATCAAACGAGCTCGTTGTCCTAATCAAACTTAATTCAACGCTCTTATTGTCACCATTATTTCTATAAGATTTTCCAAAACTCTTGAAACTTTCCTTCTCCTGTTTGCGTCCTTCGAAAAGTGGCTCGTTTCTTTTGTAATTTTCGACATTCCTAGATTCGATTACCTTGTCGTCCTTTTCGGGTGAATTGGAGAGTCTTTCGGAAGCATTGTCGTTTCTTTCATCCTTTTCCTTTTTCAGAGCAGCCAATTCAGCTTCTTTCATAGCCGAATGAATAACTGGTTCCGCCCAAAGACCAGGATTAAAAGATGGTCCTGTGCCACCTAATTCGGCAGGTAAAATATCCGTTGGCAAATGTTCGTGTAGTGTACTGAGATTATTTCCATGTAAATATATCTGAAATAATATTGAATTAATTTAAATTGTATTCATTGAAACATCCAAACTTATTAACGAAATTAAATGAAATTTTGTTCAATGACAAAAAAAATATTACATAAAACTCACTTTATTACGTGTTTTTTCATCCAGGAAAGGTTTAACAAGAGCCAGAGTTGCTTGAACGTATAAAGGAGCTGAAAGGAAGTGTATGGCCTTGAATCTAGCCGGAAATCGACCACGAAGCGCAGCTATTAAGTTTCTTAGAGCTGCGGCACCTAATGCACCGCCTTGCCTAAGTGAAAATCCACTCCAATCTACCACAGCTACGAAACCGGATTGCTGTGAAAATCAAATAAAAAATAAGTATGCATGAATTATCCGGATTGGTTACTTAAGTTTATTTTTATATGTTTTAACTTAATGTTTTTCTTTTTCAGTAAACTCACTTGATTTCTTGGATCTTGGATAAGAATTTCTAAAACTAAAAAAATCGCTCGTTGAACTGATAACGCTGGCACTGCGATTGGATCCCATTGCGAAGCTAATATTACCAAAACGCACCTACCTTTCCTGGAAATCAAATATTATTTTCCTAAACTGACATAAACGTAGATTTATTATTATTTAACATGTTAAATATTGAGTCAGTTTTTTACCAGTTATACTATATGATATCATATTATCATTTTTACCATTTTTATAGGACCGGATTATATTATTCAATCTTGTACCATAAAAAAAAATGAGTCAATATTACATAATAATACTTTTTATAACATTTAACGAGTTTTATGATAGAAAATATCAAATCTCAAACTTACCTATCGCGAGCAGGTAAAACACCAGGTATACCAGCACGTAAGGCACGTTGAAGAGCAGGATCACGAGCAGTAAGATTACCAAAAATATCTTGCCGATGTGCTATCTGAGCTTGATAAGCAGCTATCAAAGCAGCTGCTTGTTCTGCTCTATACTTCCGGGCAAGCAGGAAACGCGTAATATATTCGTCCGTACAATGTTTCAAGTCTAGGACAAGCCAATAATGATAGGTTGAAATACACATACACATATTTAATATATATATATATATATATATTTAAAAGAGAAAAAGAAAAAATATGAAAAGGATTATAAAGGGATGGGGTCATTGTTATGCTCAAGGCGAAACGGGAAGCAGTTTGAATACGGACGCGGAATTATATCGGGCAGGAAGGCACGAACCAGACTTCACCGGAAATTCGAAGCTTTTCAAGTTAGTCACTAACTACTCTTCGAAAATATATTCTTTGTTTATTTGTGCATTATTATTATTATTACTTGATTGGCCAAATTTATTACATTGATTGGTTGTTGATATTTTCTAATATATAAAATATTTAACTATTAATATATTGCAAAATATTTTAATATATAATGATAGTGTCATCTATTTAGGGGTATAACATACTAGATATATTGAATCTAAAATATTAATATTAGATTTACAGAACCTGTCAAAATGACGGGTTTTCGATTTAAAAATACTGCTTGTTTAATTATAAATATATTGTAAAAATGTTTTAATTTAAAATATAATACAGTGTCTATATTATTTATTTAAATATAATAAAAATTACTACGTAAATTATTGACCAACCCAATATATTATATTTTCGTGTATATGAAGTTGAATGTAGTATACAAAAATGTTCTTACCCACATCCGGCATCTCACGAAGGATCGCTCGAACCGATTTAATGGCCAGCTTTTTGTCTCGCTTGTCCAACCTCACATCTTCTTGGTAAATGCTCCGAGAAAGCGTTGTACTTGCGTGACCACTCGGTGCCCACATATATTCGCAATACTCCGACATGTTTTCAAATATTATTTCCTCTTTTCTTCTTCAATTAAATAAGAGGAATTACTCCTGAAAAAAAAATAAAAAATAAAAATAACATTGATACGATTTTACACATCGATCTTAAACAATATATTATCAATTGTTTACCGTTATTTATTATTTCTATATTAAAACACTATCGTGATACTCGTAATATGAAATTCGAGTAAGTTGATTGAATTACATTGTCCGAATCTGATCGCTATTTACTTTTTTAATTTTTTATTTAAAAATAAAACTCCAATAAATGTTTACTCAAAAGATCAGTGTGTCTACAAACGCACCCATGAGTAAATAAACTCCAACTTGAGTAATCGCGATTATCATTTTACATTATTATTTTTCCTGTTTTTTCTTCTTTTCTTTTTCAAAACCATTAAAAAAAAAAAATTTACGAGATTTTTCCAGGAAAGTTTTATGGCAAATGTGAGAACTTTAAAAAAAATTATATCGGATGATTAATCATAACTGTTATTGGTATCTCGTAAGATAAAACGGTTACTCATTATATCAACTTCAATACATTAACCTAAATAATGAGATGATCGTGTTCCTCCCCCCCCCACCTCCATCTCCGTTTATTTCTTTCTTCAAAAGGTGCATGAATTCTACGATGATTCATCCAAGTCAAGGACTAAAAATCTTCAAGATTTACCAGGTTACTAAAAAAGAATCCTATTGAAAGGATATAAGATCGATGGGATCTATCGATCGATTCAGGTAGATCGGTGACCAATATATAATCCTTCAACTTTCTAAGAGAATGAGTCATCGTCGAAGAAGGCGAATCACCTCGAGAATCAACAACTCCTTTCGATAGAAAAACTCTTTTGATCAATTACAACCATCGAAAGTCATTCCAAACCGTTAGATTAAAGTCGATTACAACACCCGTTACACATAAACATTGGTGGATCGTAATCTTATGACATTGTCCAAGTCATTTCCGCGATTATATTTCAATCCTTGCAACCATTACATAATTAAAAAAAAACTCATAACAACATAAATAAAATATAAAAGAAGAAGAAGAAGAAGAAGAAGAAAAAAAACACTGAAAAAACGAGGATAATTATAATGAACTTGTCATATCGGTTAGTTAATAAAAAATTTATTAATTTGCACTAAAATCTCACTAGAATTTACACAGAGGACAGACACCAAGATTGATTAAAGTGCACACCAAAAAATTGTTCAATTAAATTTGATTATTTATTGAAATATACTTGCGTACCTCACAATCAATCTTCTTCTCGGATGATAATTATTACATAAATCCAAGAACGATGATAGAAAATGAAGAAAGACAAAATTATAATAAAACAAAGATGACACAGAGTAAGGATCTCAGAGATCGAACGTTCAAAAGGTAAGCTCGATCAGCAACTGACAGGTCGCCGATAAAATCGCATGCTAGTGATCGTTGTTCACCAGAGTTATAGAGTGTAGCTCTTGTGAAATATGAAAGAACAGGATAAAAAGAGAGAGAGAAGTAGTTTTATAAATGTGTGTGTATGTGTGTATGTTGGAGTGAGAAAGAAAGGAAGGATTTTCAGTTGAGTTGTGAAAGATAGAAGAAGACAAGAAGAAGCCGGTTACCTGTAAGAGGGAGAAACATCGGCCAAAAGAGAAAAACAAGGACAGGATAAGCCGGTTACCAATGAGAATGTGCATTTGTGTGTGTGCGTGCATGTATGTTGTGTATATGAGAAAGAAAGAAAGAGAAGGGAATATATGGAGGATGAGGAAAAGAGAAGAGAGGGAAAAATGGAAGCTGACTCACCAACTTTCTGCTCGTTGCGCCGCTATTGTGAACCCGTTCTCCGAAAAATTCAACAACGTACATCGCTGTGGTACATTGGCGTCGACAGAAAGAGAGAGCCTACTGTATTCGAGTACTTACTTTTACCTCTTATGTGTATATATTATATGTTTATGTGTGTTTGTGAAAAATTCATAAAGGCAGGTGTAAGAAAAATAATCAGATGGAATCATTTTGGTGAACGAGACGTAACATCGAATTTTTTTTTAAATTAGGATACATTTGGTTTTTCGATTTTATTTCTTTTTTATTCATCGAAATTATATCGGCATCAAGAAAGAATTATTTTTAGTGAACAATTAACATCGAATGATTTTATTTGTTATTTACGACACATGTTAGTACAGTTGATCAAAATTACATTCACATGGAATTCGAAATGTTCGAATAATATTTATCAAAGAAATTTTATATATTTTAAATTGTTCTCAACGTTGTAATAAACTTGCTTATTTTATTGGTAAAATGCAACAAAGAAAATGTACGATATAGATGGTGTACATCTGGTGATATGTAAAAACGTGAAGTATTTAACTTCGTGCGAACAACAAAGAAAATATATCACTCGAACAATAAATGTTTTCAAAAGGAGAGAGAAAGAGAATAAGTTATTTACGAATGTACTGAATAGTCACGTTTTGCAGACTAGTCGATTGGAACACGTATAATTAGGCTGAGTTAAGAAGATAATTTTAAAATTCGAGAAACATTATACATTATTTTTAACTAAAAAAAATACATTTATTATTGTTAGAATACCATATACATACATAAGTATATTACTCGTAAATGTAAAATACATTCGAGATTATCGATTTAAATTGATTTACAGGTAAACATTTATTATTCGAATAATTTGTTTGATAAATTATGGTTTTTAATAAAGGTTTTTTTATAGCCTTTTAATTTGAGATAACCAATGGATTTTGAAACGAATATTGACTATCGATTTGAGATTATTGCATCTTTTGTAATACTTCAAGGACGAGACTCAGCGATATATCGAATGACACACGGATCGATATTTCCGAACGCGTTCTCTTTGAGATACGTTTAAAGAAAATTATCCATTAGAATTTTGCAATGGAAAATGTTTCAATTTAATCAAACATAGTTGGAAAGTATTTTTATTTTTTTTTTCTTCTATATGATTAATTTTATTTTTAGTTATGCATTTGTTATGAAATAATGTTATTTAAAATGGAATGGAAAAACGAGTTGGTGCAACACATTGATACATGCGTAATTTGTGTTTTACAAGTCGCGTGGAAGCGAAGCAAACCGTAACACACAACATCATCGAGGACACAGGTTACGTAATACGACGCTCGAGAAACGAACTGGTAAAACGAAATGAAAAAAATTCCTTGCCAATCTTTTTCTTCTCTCTGCTATATCTGAGGATATTCGATTAATCTTACAAACGTAATATCGGATTACCTTATTGCCTTAAAAATATATATCTCTCTAGTTTGCACATTGCAAACAAGGTCAAAAATGTCTACTTGCTATTTTTTTATTTGTTAATTATTAATCTTTGTTTACTTACAGGATAATTTTAAATCTTCTTTTAAATCTAAAACTTCAAAATCAACGTTATTTCAACTGCCTCTGCAATGGGACTAACAAGGATACCAGAAACTTTTGAATCATACTTAAGAAAATTCCCATTAATACTATTAATTTATTATATTGTCAAAATTAAAATGTAATTTTAATGTTTTTTATTGTTAAATAATATCTTGAAGATAATAAAAGAATAATGGTGTTGAACCAAGTTAACGTGTTGTCAACAGTTCAAGTTGAAATTCCTTTTGAGGACGTTTCCATGACGAAAAGTTGGAACGAAACCGATTATCGATTTATCACTGGCTTATCATTTGCTAAGCTGAAATAACCTAGGACAAGCTTATCGGTTTTCTATCTTTTTACCTTTTTTTTCTATATTTCTTTTTTTTAGTTGAAATAAAAAAGATACAATTAATATAATATGAAGCTCATATCAATGTACTAAACATTTCATTTTACCCAACGTGGAAAGATTTTCCAAACTTCGTTTACTTTCATTCGTATATATATTTAAACTTAATTTGAAAAATACAAACATTAAAATCTCTTAGAAAGAGATCTTTAATAAAAAGAGATAAATATTGGAACAAAGTCTTTGTCAATGTTAACTGGAAGATCAATGACATTTAAATTGACCATAATGGAGGCCACAATGACATCAAAAAACATTACATCTCAAGAACGAATAATCAACTAAATTAAAGAAGTTTAATTATATTTTATCGGTGTTTAATTATGTTATGAATCGTTAAAATAAATTTTTTTTTCCAATGGATATATCAAAATGTATGTATAACAATGAACAATTGTTAAAACTGTTTTACAGTTATAAATTAACTTTTGACATTGAAAAAAAAAACAAAAATACATTATTATTTGATCTTTCAATCATTTAATTCGTTTACAATATAAATAAAAAAAAATAAAAGAAATATTGATCTGCAAAAACGAAGAAAGACAATACACTAAAAATACAAAGAAACATTTAATGATGAGTATTGAATTGTACCAAAAACAATACTGACGTATTCAAACGCGTAATAATATTTCGAAATTTCTTACCAAATAATGTTAAATAAATTCTTTTCAATATTGTACAACTTAAAACACAAAAATTGCACTTTTTTTCATGAGTATAGCACAAAAAAGAAAGGGGAAAAATTGAGATCCTTCGTATTATATTCCTTTGGTGGTTGGTGTTTGAATTAAAGGAAGACTATGATATTTGTTAGTTACGCGAATTGTCGCTCGAGTTGGTTCGAAGTAATTCGAACCAGCTCTTGTCGAAGAAACAGTCCGGCGCGAAACTGACAGTTCGAAACAGTAAACCCGGTAACCGACCTGTAGACTATAAACGAAGGCGCCACTTTATGGATTCCCCGAACGTTCATCAGGACTGTGACTTTGTATAGTCAGTTGGTACCGAATAACGAGTGTAACTTGAAGAATAGGTGCCCTGTTCTTTCTTCTTGCCAGTAATTAATTAATCCTATCAATTCACTACTAAATGCAAACATTTACTCATTACTTTTGCCACATTTTTTCGAGACATTTTTATTTTATTTTCTTATAAATATTTTATGTAAATATTTATTACAATAAAATTTTTATTTTATCTTTTAATAAGTGATTCATAAAAAATCACGTATATGTAATGTTGTCAATTTACTAAACATTTCATTTTACCTAACGTGGAGAGATTTTCCAAACTTCGTTTACTTTCATTCGTATATATATTTAAACTTAATTTGAAAAATACAAACATTAATGTTATATGTTTACTTTTAATACACCCACACACATACTAGTCATTACAGTGAATAGTGGAATTGAACATTTGTTTATTAAAATATGTATCTTTAAGTGTGAACAAAATAGTTTTTAGTTGATTCGTCAATCAGTTGAACAAGCAACATTACACCAAAGGAAAAGCTTATGAACTAGTAGTACGGTTAGTAGCCATATTGTGTTACTGCATGAATTTAAGTATCTGTAACAAACCGGATATTTGCTTAATTTACAATCATTGAAGGGAGACAGTAATAATTAGGATTTAAAATCATTTCAAATCAATAATTAATGATTGCCAATTTTCATAGATCATTCTCTCACTATTGTAATATTATTTGAAATAAATTGTAAAATTTTTTGACGAGTCATGAAAAGAACATCATCGAATAGAGTCCATACATTATTGGAGAGCATAAATTGAGAGCCATTTACGATGTACAAGTGCATATAATCAAGTAATACACTCCAGTAGAATAAAAAGCCGCGCGTTGAGGATAATACTAAAAATTTTCCACACACAATTTTATTAATTCAAGCTTAGTTTTTCTTTCAAGTTAGTCTTTTTATTCAGAATAAAATTAACTTTTACAAATCAAAGTTCATCAAATTGCATATTAATAAAAAATCATTCTCGTTATTATATGTTTCCGTTTTGAAAAGTCTAACATTAATTGAGATCATTAAAATCGTTTTTAATTTATAAACAATTTGAAAATTTTCTAATCGTTGAAACGTAATATAGATTAGATTTTGTTAATGTAAAAAGTAAAAGTATAACTGATTAATGTTATATCCGGAGTTATATATATATATATTTAATCTTTTATTATCGCCTAAAACGATAACATTTTCTCGAACCGATGATACTCAAAAATTACAAATCCATTTTGGAAAACATTTAATTGATGAAAGTTCAACTATAAATGATTAGGCACGATCTCTGAGCCATCAATAAAAATATCTGAAAATAAAAAATTATATTAAAATATAATATATCCTGCTGTAATAATGAATAACATAACATATAATATTTATCATAAAATAAATAAATTAAAATGAAATTAAAAATAAATATTGAGTAAATAAATAATAAACTGAACGCTTGCAACTTTTAAGATGTTTAAAAATTATACATTTAAAATAAAATATTTTTAAATTTGTATATAAAAATAGAAAAAACACTAGCCTCGTATGTTAGTTTTATTCTTATATAAAAGTTACATAATCTAATAAAATTTCAATATCTAAACAAAAAAAACGATTTTAAATTACATCTTATTTATCATCCGAGCAGAAATCTTTTATCTTGGATGATAAACAAAAAGTCCATTTAATTTTTTACTACAGCTATATCAGTTAAATGATTCAAATAAAACATGAAGGAGAGGGGGTAGAAAATAAGCTAGAAAGAAGTTTTAGTAGACATCGTTCATCAGTTTCAAGTCGACTTCTCGTGGAAATTGTTCAAAGATTTCACGTAAATTTATTGATAATAATAAAACAACTAATCGCATTAGATTATTTTCTGATCTAAAAAGGAAAACGGTATTATATTATTTTTCATATATTAAATTATCTTTATAAAAATCTTATGTCGAAATAAAATTAAGTTTCACCGATTATTCAAATTTATTTGTGTGAAACATAAATATTTGTGTTTGTGTATGCATATTTATCGTATAAAATTAATCTTATCTATAATCTTATCGATCTAATCACATTTTCTTTCAATTACATTACTTAATTATTATTAACAAGTGATACAAATCATTATCAATACAGAATGAAATGAAAAATAACATTTATATGTATACTTTAATTACAGCAAGTAAGATACAATTTTAATATTTTTAATAATTACAAGATAAAAGATAAACGTTTCTTCTTCTGAAGTATTAATTTATTCACATAATTAATAGTGATTACTTTAATAAGATTCAAAGAAACACTGCCGTCACTCATAATCGAAAAAGTTTCGTGTTAGAAACATGGTTAAGAGTTCTCGTTCAATCATATTTTAAGAATCTTCATTGGTTTTTATATTTTTTTATAATATTTATTGATTGTTATATAATAATAAAATTCAATAAATTTATAGTGCAAGTTCTGAATAAGATTCATCATCGAAATTGGATAGAAAAAAGTCAACGATAAAAGTGTAATTATTTTTTTACTCTAAACTTCAAGATTTCTAACAATAAATTAAATTCAAAAACATTCGAAATGAACAGTGTTATAAAAAATAAGATTGAATAGAAGCCATTTTGATTTTGAACTCGATCGTTTCATCGATTATGATTATCACAATCAAGTATTAACCTCAATAATTTAGCTCTCTTACGTATTGCACTTTGCACGCGCTATTACAAACATAAAAACACAAATCATGTATAATTCATATTTTTAATATAACTTATGTTAAATAACTAATTTTTCTAAATAAAAAATTATTTTTAACGAATAATCGTTAATAATTGGATTCTCGTGTCTGTTTAAATATTCATCAATTATTTTATGACATTTTTTATTTTAAATTCATCTGTTCATATTAAAAAATTAATAATTCATTTTTTTTGAAGTTTTATTTTACGAACAAAACTTTTTGCATCTTATCTTGATTATAATTTGTACACATGCGTATAAAGATATGCATTAACGCATATATACATGCATATCGATTTAAATACGAACAACTCATACAACTTCAGAGTAAACTAATAAATACCGCTCACATTGATTCTAAAAGAAATTAAAATAGATCAATAAATTAAAATATTTCCTTTTTTTTTATTTTGATTTGTTTCAGGAAAGATCTAATACAAAATGAAACTTTTAATTCACATTGGGTTATTCTCCACTTCCCTTTTTTCGATAATTAGTGTTTATTCTATGCCAGTTTACCCGCCAATTAAAAAATTTTTTGCCAACTTTAACCCTGGACTACTCATGTATCTGACGGTTTGGAATTGTGTAAGTAGAATTTTCATTAAAAATTTATTTTTTCTTCTTGACAAATTGCAATATTTTTCATTGCTAATAACATCAGTATTTTACGAAGTCGAAAATTAGCATTAATTCAACGATAATGCTTTATTATCTCTGAAATATTCAGATTGTATGATCATTGTAAAATTAACAAGTTCGAAAATATAATTGGTAACATATTATATAATAACATAACATAACATATAAGCTCATTCAAAAATAATTTCATTTTTTAAATGGAAATTAAAAGACAATTTTATCGTACCCGTGTAGAAATAAATATATATATTGTTTATAATAAAATTATTATATATTAAATGTATATATATATTAAATAGATATATAATTTATTGTCATTTTTATATCTAGAATAATATGGGCTGCTTATTTTGAAAGTGGCCTAACTCCATTTTCCAAAAAAATCGAGTTAGCAACCATAATAGTTACATTTTTACATGATCTTTTCATTCTGAAGCAATTTGTTACAAATATATTTAACTCCTTAAGTTGCACGTTTGAATTAATTGAAGCGCGCTAAACCAGCCAAATCTCGCACACTCGAGTTAATTCGAGCGGCTTTGTATTAAATGCTGCTATAAAAATTTTGATTCATTTTGAATTTTTTTAATTTTTTTACCAAGACAATATTCTAAATTGTGCTTTTTTACATAAAAAAAAATTGTTAGTTTTTTTTTCAAAAAACTGTGCGTTAAGGGGTTAAAATCATGTAGATATTGTAACAAGAAAATTTGCCGATCAACAGAATGATGAAAAGTTTATTTTGAAAGTGGCCTAACTCCCATTCGTCGTTTATTATTTTCCGGTTACACCTGGTTATTGTACAACTTCATGTTATGTATCAATAAAGCATTTGAGGTTGCTTATATTCCCAGTAAATGGGAATATGTAAGGGATAATAATTTATTGTAATTAAATTGAGATAAATAGATTTTGTAGCAACAAAATTATTAGAAGATGCAATTTTGAAAAGTGTAAATAATTCTGATGTAGAATACATACTGGTTAAAAAACTGGTTATTAGAACTGGTATAAAAATTGGTTTAAAATATGTTGGATGAGTTTTGTCAGAAATAAATCGTATAAAATTTTCTATAAGTCATCAATGAATGAGAATAAAAATTTGAAAGTCCTGAATTTGTTATCAAGTCGGGGTAGACCAAGAAAGTTCGTCAATATTATATTGACATCACTGTATAAAAATATCAGACAAATTACAGCATAAAAATTCAAGGACATAATGTTTGGACCTACTACGATATATACCATCATAAAGTCATGATTTCTTCAAATTCCTTTACACACGCAAAAATATAGACGAGCAGTAAATTGTTTTGAAGGTTATATTTGTAATTTTGTACGTTATGTAGTTAAAAAATGTTTTGAATCGCATAAATTATGTTTCAGAAGTGTTTTAAAGATATGTAAAATAAATGGAGTATTGTTGTTTCCAATTTGAAGCATTTTAAATTATGTTGAATGGAGTTAAATCCCTTCGAAATTTATAACAAATCAAATTGTTGATATTGACAATGGCCTAACTCCATTCGTGGTTAGAAAACGCATATTATTCACTTAATAATTGCCACTATTTTAATAGAAAATATAAATTAACCACCTTTAGATACACTCAAGCAGTATAACTCGATAGTATCTTGTACGTATATTTTTCATTGCATTGAAACGCAAACCCTTCAATATCTCAATTCGAACATAAATGGAGGTAGGACACTTTCAAATTAAGTGACTCATATAAATGTTTTTTTGTTTTAAATATATTTTAGAAGCATATAATTACAATTTGTATATTTATAATTGATATTTTTATAAATATATTTATTTCTACGTAGAATATTTAGAATCCAAGACGTTTTAAATAATCATATTTAGTCGAATTTGATAAATTCAACTTCTCAAAATCAATTAAAATATAAAATGATTTTAATAAGCTTTTAATAAGTTTTTGATAATATCAGGTATCAATAAACGCTGATCATGCAGTTATTTGTCTTAAACAAATTATTATTATTTACATTCATTAAAAACACGTGTATTCAATAATACATCCTAATCTTTTATCGCGCGAAACTGATATTACATTAAACATAATAAATTAAGAATGTTAGGAAATACATCCTGACATTTTATAGAAATTGGAACTACTTATTACGTTTAATATATTTAGAGATAAGAATTTAATTAACATTTTTATCAATTTTATAAATTTTAATGAGACATTTCATTATCGAGAACTTCGAGTTAAACTTATCAATTAAATTATTGCAAAAAAAAAAGAGATAAAAAAATAAAACTTGAAGAAGCAAGAGTCAAGGTCAGAAGGCTTGATTAAAATAATGATGTAAGACTTTAATAAAAATTGGTACCGCCATCTTATTTAATAATTCAATTCAATTCATTCGAAACTCTGAAACATCGGAAATACGCTTAACGTATTGCGGTTTCAAACGGTTGTATAGCAAATCCCGTTCGATTTCTCGCGTTGAAGAGTATGAAGCCTTCGTCTGGGAGTAGGGTGCATAATTTATGATGGGATGCTGGAAGGTAGAGAGAGAGAGAGAGAGAGAGAAAGAAAAAAAGAAAGAAAAGAGAAAAATAAAAATGATACAACACATGAACAATTCGCATATCCACAAGCATACGCATTATACAATTATACTTCCTAGATTCACTTGCACATACATACACACACAAGCGTTTAAAAAATATACTATATAAAATCATCACGCCTGTAGTATTATCTCAACATTACGTGAAACACAATTATGATATAATTATAATCATTTATTCAAGTTTCCTTTATTTTGCTATAATTTGCACATTAAGTGTCTATGAAGATATTATGCATACGGAATACATTAAATGGATATTACAAAAGTATAAACAGGTTTACTTGTAATATACTTCTACGGGAAATCTACGACTACGACTATGACGATGTAACGGAGCATGCGCGTTTTCGGTCTGCGCAGAAAATCAACCGCATCTCGTCATCATCGTCATCTTCGTTTTCATCGTCGTTTTCATTGTCGTCGTCGTCGTCGTCGTCGTCGTCGTCGTCGTCATCGTCGTCATCGTCGTCGTCATCGTCGTTGTCATTGTTGTTACTCGTCATCGTCCATCTCTTTCTTATTCGTTTCAGTATAAAACATTATAAACTAAACTACATTTACAAAATTAAAATTTCCCGCATTTTCCTATCTAGCGTATCAAACTATTTAAACATAAGCATACGCGTATTAGTTTGCACTCCCCTCCCCTTCACTAAAATCAATAAAAATACTTTTCACATCGAAATGTCAATAATTCACATTTATTTTCAGACGATCGTTCGATGCTAACCATGTTTAATTCATTCATAATAATAAACACTATCAATTCGATAAAAATAAAAATAAGTACAAGGAAAGATCGTATACAATAACCTCCCCCCCCCCACTCTATTAGGAAGTATAATATAACAGAAAAAATGTTAGGTAGTGTGGAATACATCAGTGTATGCTCGTTACGACATAAACTCATATATCTACTTGATGCGATATATTGTGTTTTGTCTGCTCGTTAAATAAATTCATCATACTTATAGCGTTGCATAACTTACAAAAAAGGAACAAGTATGATTTGAAATTAAAACGATTGAACTTTAAGATTTCGCAGTCTTATTTCTTCTTCTTATTCTTATTCTTATTGGTGTTTATTTTTTGTCGTTGTTAGGTTTAATTATTTGGTTCGTCTATTTCTTTTTTCAAACCAATTCCAATTAGAATTTATCTTCACTCTCTTTCTCTCTCTCTCTCTCCTTCTTTCACGCTCGTTCTATCTCTATCTCTCTTTTTCCAAAAGCCACTCGCATGCTCGAAAGTGCACGAAGCATCAGAACGAACGTGGCCGCGCACGCCTTTTCTTTCCTTTTCCCCTCCACTTTCTCACTCACTCCCTATCTCTGTCTCTCTATCTCGGTCTCTGTCTCTTTACTACCTTCTTTCTCTCTCTTTGTTTCTCTCACTCACTCCGCTACCACCTCTTTTTCTCTCATCCGTCAGTAAGTTACAGTCTGCCGAGAGGATCGGAGCACGAGCTACGCGATCACCAAGTTCAACGATTTTTATCAAAGTTTTTTATTTTTTTTTTATTTTTAACACAAATATAATAATCAACGTATGGATACATAGGTAATTGTTCCTTATTTCTTTTCTCTCATCTCTCTCTCGCTCTCTCCTTTTCTTTGTCGTTCAAATAAAAATTCATAAATTGGAATCGAATAAGAAAAATACAAAATCGTGAGTATACACGATGTAAATATAAGGAGATACGTATAGGGGAGAAGGGTTGAAATTGGGGGGGGGGGTAGTATTGTTTCCTACTCGCGTGTCACACAACTTTATAGCTAAGGAAAAACAACATAAAATATATGAGGGAGAGCGATGATGCGAATAAAAATAGAAAAATATCAGAAAGCGAATGTGCTCTTATAGTGAGTACGAGAGAGAGAGAGAGAAAGAGTGAGAGAGAGAGAGTGAGAGTGAATGTGTGAGTGAGTGAGTAAGAAAGGAGACACGTGTGAAAGACATGCCGCTGTGATATGCAACCACGTCGATGAACGATGATAAAAAAACAACCCTTTAACCCTTTCTATAGGGTCATCCTCGTGAATGTATAATTATCACATCTAATGATTTCTTAATTTTCGCTTTTTATTTTTTAATTTGCTCATTTTCTGTCATTTGTCAGCAATTTATTTTTATCATTTCAAAAAGATCGAATGATTATTACTATTAACTTTAATTTATGAGTGAATATTATTTAACACTAGATATACCAGACCAGTCATTTTGACTGGTCGGGCCATTTTAATTCAAAATTTCTACTTCATGTAACATTTGATTTTTGTAAATAATTAAGCGTTTTGTTATTTAAAAATGTCTATAAATCCATTTATCTATTAAAATTATTATTGTTAAACATTTTTTGTTATTTTTTAAGAGTAAATAAAGACTGGAAGCCTTAAAAAGCATTTTTTTTATACACTAGTCATTTTGATTAGTGTGGTAGAAATAGGTATACTGAAAATAGTGGTATATCTAGTGTTAAGAAAAGAACAAAAAACAAAGGTGAATAATATTACATAAGGATAAAAATATGTTGTTGCAATATTATTAAATGCTTAAATGCTAATTTTGTTTCTTGAAGATTTTTTTATTATATATAAATCATTAATTATTGTATTTAAAATGTTACTTTAAACGTAATCACTTTTAGCCGAATAATATGAGTATAGATAAGAAATATTCTGAACTTTGACAACGAAAATATAACGATAATGGTTGAAACGTTCGAATATTTTATTTTCATTCTTTTTAATTAGTTCACTTTAAAAATTTATCATTTGTCTTATTTTAAAATAAAACGAGTCACCCCGATTAATCGTATTTACAAAATTTATTCGATAACTCATATATATGAATTTTAATTAAAATGATATACATAAAAAATAAACGCAAAGAACGATAATTTCAAATGATAGCTTGTATAAAATAAAATAGCACAGTAATCTCTGATGAAAAAAGAAGAACAAAAACCGACGAGATACGCGCGCGCGCGCGCACGCACATTCTATTTTAAATAGAGAACACACAAATTGGGCCTTTTAATTTTATTCTTTTCTTAAACAAAAAATTCCTATACAAAGAAACTTGGCACGTGCATGCAAAAATAAAAAAAAATTACTGCTTTGAACTTTTATCTAATTATCTCGAAATCATGCATTCATTCAATTGATAAAGATAACAGAAAAAAAACTAGATAAGATTAATAGATAACAAATGAAATATAGAAAAAATTTTAAAGTTAGAAACAGAAAGAAAAAGAATAAGTTGAAAATAAAGATGAAGATGAATATAAAGACGAAGAAGAGAAACCCTTAGAGTACATCAGCAAACGAGGCCTAGTTTCTATCTTTCGCTATCTCCGTTATCGATCCAAACACTATCGTGTCTCGGCTGGTTGACAGTGAAGGAACCCAATACTGAAAGAGATAGAAATAGTATGCATCTATGTATGAATGTGTGTGTGTGAGTTTTGTAAAAGACGAAAATGTGATCAAAAGGATGAAAACGTTATTACCAAATTTAGAAACTTACAGTGCAATTAGTAGTATAATAATTTAGGTCATAAATGCATATATATATAACTAAATGAAAGAGATTATATTTTTTAAAATAGAGACTTAAATGAAGGAATAGTCTATGTATTATTCCAGAAAATTCCTGAGGATTCCAGAAAGAAAGATAAAGAAACTAGCCGTACAAGATGCGAGATTCCATTCTCATAGGATTTCACGCGATTGCATGTTTGCAATTCGCATATTCTGTTTATTACGATTACACGTACACCGTGGTGCCAGCGCATATAATGAAGAACCACAGCGCTTTCGGTGGAAGATTTAAATTTCTCACATTTTGGGACGCGGTTAGTATAGCTTATGAAGGATCCTTTTTGTCCTTTATTTTATTTATTTAATTTACTTATTAACAGGTATTATCTAATCAGCAAATTAAAAAAAAAATTATCATTTACTATGACATGTCTATCCTTGTAATTGGAAAAGAATCTTTTAGCACAAATAACCCGTTTGTAATCCAAACGTTTTCCATATCGTCCTAATCTAATCCTAAAAAACAAAAACAAAAAAGAAAAGTAAAAAAGAAAAAAAAAATAGATTTATATGGTAAACCGCTTAATATGGTCGTAACTCTTACAACATCTCCTCTTATTAGCAAGCAGCAAATCTACCCAGCTAGCTAGCTACCTAACTACTTAGCTACCTTGTTATGTAATCGGTGAAAACGCAACATATATATATATAATAATGTATCCGTGATGAGGAAAATGAGGAAAGGTGTATTAACCTTTCGACTTTAATCCAAAGACCAGCAGTGCGTTATCTTACAAGTAAAAAAAAATACAATTGCTTAGGTTAACAAGGGCCCCAAATTCTACAAAATTCTAATTATTATTTAAATCAAAATCATATTCAATTATACTATACTTGGGATCTTCCGCATTCGAATATACTCAGAACTCCGTAAAGTTCAAACTCTAAAGTCTGATAATAATCCTGTTTGATTTGTTCGGAAACTAAAAAGGGGAAAATCAAACAAACATTTCAAGTTAAACCTGACGGTGTTAGACTATAGTATATTTCTACTATTATACCGATATAGTAAATAAGTCTAGTTTTTATTCGTTACGTGTTATTCACGATTATGTACAATGTAGGTAGGATTCCATTTATCGATTTCAGTTACACTCTTTCCACTTTCCTAGAAATTTCCTTCCGGGTTTTTGATTACATATTTTTATTACCACCAAACCACGTTTCGCGTTATTCCATTTTGTTATTTAATAGATCATTTCAAGCATCTCAATTTTTATTTCTATCCTTTGAAAATAAAACAACAAATAACAAGTTACAATTATTTCAAACGTGTTTCTCCTTGTCTTATTTTTATTCTTAATCGGCTATTACGTTTTCTATGCACGTGTTAAGCGACTCTTATTGAATAGCAACGTCATTTTGCCGCCTTCGTAACATCACAAGCCTCTTATCCAATAATTGACTATAACACGAAAGTTAATTCATTATTTACAAATCCACTGATTACGTCATTCAAAAGTATCATTATTTCTTAGGGTTTCAAAATTTGTACAAATTCTACTTTATAATTCATTGCCATTTACATTCTTATTCTATACTATTGTACTAATAGATTCTTTATTACGACATATTTTCTAGGTTATCCAGTATTGATTCATCTGAATTTTATTACCGCATAGCAAAGAAATAAAAGAAGACATTTTCATTTTAAATAAAATCTGTGAAATAATGAACTTTGATTGATTCATAATTTATTGTTTCAGATATTACAAACGGTATTCTTTTTAATATGTATCATAAACGATTTGTATGGTACCAATGCAGTTAGCCCAAAGAAACCACCATTTATACGAAAATTAAAGGATTATTTTTTCGGAGCTCTTTGTTTTCCTTTAGCCATGGTACAAAAAAAATAATAATTGTCTTACAATAAAATTCTTTTCAATATTATCATATTAATAATATTCGTTACAGTTCGTGGGGATTACGTTTTGGGCGTTAATGTTCATCGATCGTGAATTGGTATTACCAAAAGCATTAGATCCATATTTTCCATGGTGGTTGAATCATCTGATGCATACGATGATCATGGTCTCAATCGTTACCGAATTATTGTTATCACCACGAAAATATCCTAAACGATCGCATAGTCTTTTTGGTCTCGTGGGATTTACGCTTACTTACTTAGTCTGGTGAGTTTAATTTTATTTGTGAAATATGAAAAGAAACATCAATATACATCGGTTTTTTTTATATTGGAAGAACTTTTAACGAATTTATTATAATTTTAATAATAAATGAATTATTTATTAAAGGCTCCACGTGATATATTACAAGAACGGCATTTGGGTATATCCAGTGATGGAAGTATTGACGCCGACAATGCGACTAGTATTCTTTGGAATTTTATTGATATTCACGTTGTTACTATATTTCACCGGAGAAATGCTGAACAAACTCGTTTGGGGTAACGATAAAACTAAACAACACAAATCTCATTCCAAGTAATTCCCACCAAACTTGTCACCGGCAAGTGACCACAAATCAGATCTGCCTCTCCGTCGGTGTTGGTGGTGGTGAATAAAATTCTCTTTTATCGTTCACTCGTTGAAAAAATGCACCTTTTTTTTATTATTCTTCTTCTTTATAAAAAAAAAAAAAAAGAAAAAAAAGAAAAAAAAAATTATTATTGTTATCAAAACATTAAAACAAACAAAAGAAAAAAAAAGAAAGTAATGTAGAGGGAAACCGAACAGATAGAATCCTCCCAGTTCCCGCAAAACACCCACCCTCCCCGAAAAGAATACTATGCATGCACACGGGTAGATTTCACACGGTAAATGCTGTTGAATCGATAATCCAGCCTTTTGTTTGGGTCGTGTTAACTTTGCTCAACAGTCTACTGACTGACTGATTCTGATGCTCAAAGCATGTTTTTAACTGAGTTTATCTCGCTGAAGCTTTCAAATAATTGTGTTTACAATCCCTATTCCTGTTTTATTTGCTTTTTTTTTTATATTCCCTTACCCTAATGGAAAACTAAAAAGTTAATAATAGTGCCTGGATATAGAAGAAGTGATCGAATGTAAATAAAAAATTCGGTTTAATTAATAATAATGCGCCTTTCTATTACTGGACTCTCGTCATAATCATTATTTTTGTACTTTTTTATAACGAGAGTTTAATACATACAATAGGTGAAAAAAGTATTGAGAAAAAATAAATTAAAATTACTAATGAGACTTTTATAGAAATCAATAGAATTTTAGAATTGCATCGTTTTCTCAGGTAGTGGAATTAGTGCAGCAAAGTGAAGTGTTCAAATACTTTTTTTACCTACTATATATAATATAATATAATATTGTAATAATAAAATTAATCAAATTAATATGGTGTGCACGTAGGGACAAAAGTACACGCTATAAAAATATATATCAATCATATATATAATAAAAAATATTATACACATTTGAATTCGTTACAAATCTTGAATATATAAAAATCTTGTTGTATAGCAAACAATAAAAGTTAAACTATCTATATACATATATTTGTATCGGGTATAGGTAAAAAATACCTAGCAGAGAATAGCAACCCAGATTTGAAAGTATTATCTGTGTCAACCGTACGAGAACAAGAGGATAAACCTGGTCTTGCATAAACGATGAAAACGAATGCTAAAAACGAATAAGAAAGAAAAAAATGAAGAATATAAGATAAACATTGTCAACGAGCTTTAAAAAACAAAGCTCTACTAATATCATTGCCAAGGATGAGCTTAAAACAATTTCATTGACAAACCTGATTCATTTTCTACACTTCGTGTATTATTTTAATTAAATTTCGACCTAAAATCATTTTTCGAATGATTACGCATGAATCATATTTTATATTGTTTATATCTAACGAAATATAAAATATTTTATACATAAATTTTCTTATGTATAAATGCCCTCGCATTAATTAATATTTAAGTGTATATTGAAACAATTTTTGATTTTTTATAAAGGAGAACAAAATAGTTCTTTTGTATTCCTTAAACTATGATACACTTACAAGTCTGTCATCATAAATACATTGAAATATTCGTAGATGAATTTAAACTATTTTGATAATAATAATAATAATAAAAATAAAGTATATAAAAATATAAATATACACTATATATAAATATTGTATCAAAATCAAATCATAAATCATTTACATTAAGAAACGTTTCGCCATACTAATTGAATGAAAAAAAAATAGTATATCCTTACCTATTAAAAACATATAATGATGTTAACATTTTAAATTGCTATACTATTGTACATTAAAAATATGAATGAACTTTATTCTTCGATAATATAAAATATTGATCAGTGCCAATGTTCAGTCTTACATATTGCAATATATTCAAATTGTTCATTTAATTAAAATTACATTTGCGTTGCTTTAGAACTACAATGCCTGCTATTAATAATCTCATCAATACTTTGTTTTAGTTCCTCCATTTCTAAAATATCGAGAGGTAAAGAAGTTTGTGTAGCTATTTCTCTGGCATTAATTTGCCCATCGGATTTATCCATTATTCGTGTTAATTCAGGACAACAAGATTTCAAACTGGATGCTAAATCACCCATACCAGCCTTTTTGTATGTGTCTTTTTTCTCCGACTCGCATTTCAATTTCGTTTCACTTGACTCTTGGAGTAAATGTTTTAGGATAGCCTCGTCTTGTAACAAGTATTTGCTTTTACGACCTTCTCTAATTCTAATATCACTTTCGTGACAATAATTCTTGCCACTTTTGTTATTCATCTTACTTTTACTATTTTCTATTGGTTCTTCCATTCCCAACATCTTCGTTTCTTCGTCAGGCTGACTATCATCACTATCAGTATCTTGATCGTCTTTATCTACATTGCCTGCTTCTATATCAATATCTTTATCTCTCATATCTCGATGCCTTTTTTCTTCGCTACTTAAATTTTCATCGCTACCGCTTTGATTTGGAAATAAAAATGGTAATAACATACCCGGAGGACTTTTCCATTCTAACATTTTAGAATTTAAAACACGTTCGTCCAATCCTGCACTAGCCGACCGTCTTTTCATATTAGGAACTTGAATAGGAGCTTTGGATGTACCACCAATGGTCAATGCTGAGAGTATTTGTGCACCAAGCTGACTCTCTTGAGACGTAGAACTGCCTCGACGAAAAAGTGGACCAACTTTGCTAGATCTTGATTTAGCAAAATCTCTTCTACGTTTAACACGACGTCCACGAGCACTACCAGCTACCTTTCTTGTTGTTTTCAATTCAGCTATCTGCACAGATATCTGAGAATCCAATGAATTTCTTCGAGATTCAACTGATACCCGTCTCACGCTGAAACTTATTTCAGAATCAACAGAATTTCTTCTGTTGCTAGATACTGAACCTGTATTTCCACCCACAAGTGCTCCTCTTCTTGTCACTAATTTTGGTAAAGCAGCAGCCCAAGTTGAACTAAAGTCTTGAGATGCTACAGAGTTGAGATCAAAATTTAATCCTACTGGATCTTCGTGAGTATTATGAAAACTAATCGATAAACGACCAGCACTGTTAAAAGTCTTGCGTTTTGCAAAAGCTTGTGCTATCACTTTGTGTTTTTTCAATTTTATTGGTTCTTCAGTTTCACTATTAAAAGTTCTACAAAAAAAAAATAAATTAGTATCTTTTGATCGTTTAAATATTGATTAAAATTATTTAATATGTAGCACCGTACCTTCGGATAAATCTACTCCACGTATGTACTGTGGATCCTGTCCAAACCCATGACGACATGAGAACACCAGCAAAAAATGGTGAAAATAAATGCAACTGCAACTTGGCAACACTAGGTCTTGCTTTCATTTTACATTCGGATATGTCTGCATACTTTGTTGTTATCGAACATCTTAAACAATTAAAAATAATTCATTGAACAATTAAAAACAAGGAAAAATAATAATATGATTAAAATATCTTAGAAAGAAATAATTTCCTTACATCATATAATCGCGAAAACTTTTTCGCCATTCCCAAGAATGCTGAAATTCATGAATGTGACAATAACAAGTCACTATGACTGCTGCAAACGTAAAAATTGAAAAGAGACCCATTCTAACGATGGTTTCTCTTATTTTAGAACTTGCTCTTTCAGATATTATTTCTTGACTACTGATTTTTAAGCGAATAAGCGTGATCAATCCTACAATGTAAATAAAAAACCATGAATATTCATTTAAATATATAATTTTTTCTTTTCGTTATTATAATTAATACTTACACATAGTAACATCAGAATCATAAACAAAAACGTACATTATTTTTATTGGATGAACATATAATGAATATTTCTAAATAATAAATCTTACCTCTAGACAAAAAATATCCTCCAACGAGTAAAACGATTACCAAAGGCCCAAGCAGAAACCAAGCTCTAACTGTATGATTCGAATAACCAACGAAACAGATACCAGTTACACTATTGCCATCTATTTCTCCCAATGCCATAATGGTCACCGTTAAAACAAGCGGTAAGCACCAAGCAATAAGATGAAAATAAGCACCCTTCTTATCAATTCTATCTTGAATTTTACCAAGAGCTTGAAAACTCATATGCCAAGCGTATGTTAAAATGACAAACCACACCATCGCAGCCATGAGCGAATAATAAATGAGTACAAAAACAACAACGCATGATAAATTTTCTCCACTGAAAATCACAATATACTTATAGTTTATAGAGTTATTTTGTATATTAAAATAATATGAAAGAAACGTACCTTGGTTCACTCATTCTCAATGTACCATCTTTACGGCATACAATAACGTCTCTACTTCCAGGAGTAAATTGTACTAACCATCCTATACATGACACCATAAAACAACAATTAATATAAAATATAACTAATGCAGGATATTTATTTGCACTTCTCCAATCTATTAAAAACGTGACCTGTAACATACACAATTAATATTTAAAATGTTATTAACTGAATATCATAGATATTATTAATCATTTAATAAAAGAAACTCACCACAGTAAAAAAATTAAATGCACAACAAATACCAGCAGCCCAAGCAATGAAGGAATGAATTTGTTTTTGCTCATCCGATGTAAAAAATGGATCATTGCACTGCGTACCACATCCATCAACACCATCAAAAATTGCAAGCATATTGTCGGTTGGAATAAGTGGTTTCAAACATTTACCCGAAGTATTGAATTTCAATTCCCTAATATCATTTTTACACGATTTAGGAAAAAGTTTGGTATTTTCGCATTTGATGAAACTTGGCCAGATAGTATGATTGAATACTATTCTGCAAGGTGTAGATACCATTTTACACATTTCTTGGGATGGTAAATCAACGGTGCCGTTTATGCATTTAGGCATGAATATTGAACACAAGAATGGTTGTACGACTGCCCAACACTTTGGTATATGTCTAAGTGCTTGTAACAAATATAACTTTTCCTGTAAAAAAAAATCAGATGAAATTATAAAAATTCTATTCTTGAAAATTTTATATATAAAATTATAAAATTTTAATTAATAGATGTACCTCAATTAATTTAGGTGTCTTATATTCGGATGCAAGATCTGATGTAGTAGACGAATAAGGTAATCTGGTACCCATACAAGTGTTGTTC